AAAAAAAAAAACAATTAATGAAAATAAAATAAATAAAAAGAAGTAGTCGAAGAATTGGTTGTTAAAAAGACAACAATTTTCGCACGTAAATTTAATTTGTGAATTATCTGGAGAACCAGATGACTTCAGGAACTACCTTTGTATGGACGTAGAGACATACAGTTTACTATTGCCATTAGTTTCTAATACCATTCAAAAACAAAATACTATTATGAGGAAATGCATAAGCCCTCATGAAAGACTTACAGCAACTTTAAAAAATAAAAAGCTAGAAATAAAATAATATTCATACTAGGAAAACTAATTAAATACAATGTACATTATATGATATTAAAATTACATTAAAATCAAATACAGACTTTTATGAAAAAAAAAAAACAATTCTTGGATATATAATGAAAATATTAATAATAAAAAAGTGTATTGCATATACCTATTGTGTATTATATATTATAGTGTTAACAATTAATTATCTGGTGTTTTTTGTGTTTCTATGTTAACTTAGTGGGTCAGAGTTGTAATGCATAAATGATTGCCGAGTATCGACTGAGGGACTTTGTTGAAAACTTGGATAATTTAGCACYGGTTGAAAATATTGAGGATATTATTGAAGAGAAAACGACTGTCTGAAAGGAGGTTGAGGTTGTGCCTGATATCTAGTTGATGATTGAAGGGAAGCTGAAGTATTAAAATATGGTTGATTTGGGTGAATTGATAATGTGTAATGACGATTTAAATTCCCGAGTTCTGCTTCATAGTACCAAGGAACATAGGTGTAAATAGTGTTTGAAATTTGGGGGGAGGTTCTAAATTTTTCATGCATAGTCGAATGTGGTGTAAAATCATTAGGTTTTTTTAGGGGGGTTATTAGCTCTTCCGCAATTTGTTCCTACGCCTACTAAGTAGGTAGGTAGGTACTCGGTATAAGTGACTTGTACTCAACATTCAACAATATGTCTAATTTAAAGTTGTATTGTATTCCCCATTTAATTAGTACTATAATATTATATGTAGTACATAATATTATAAATAATATTAATTCAGTATTACCTATGTAAATTTAAAATTATTATTTTGTCCAAAACGCAAAGTTATCCGTTTACACGCAWAGGAGAAATGTGCAACTACTATGACTGCACAGTTTTTTTTTCAGGCATCGCCTGAACTCACACAGTCCAAAATTTTGAACTGTACAATCATACGATTTTCATTTACACATACAGTTAGTTTGCGCAAACTTGAGTCCATGCAGTCCGTTTGCGCAGTTTAACTGAACGTGTAAACCCGACTTAACAGTTAAGTAATCACTTTATTTGTATGTTTTTGTATTATTTTTTCAAG